TGAGGGTGCCCTCTGGTGGGCTGTTTCTGTGTGACCCCTCCAGCCTTTCAAGGGCACATGAGCCCAGCTGTTTGGTTGCCCAAGTGGCCCAGGGAGAAGCCCAGCCCTTCCTTCCTTCCTTCTTTCCTTCCTCTTGGGCAATCATCAGGATGAACCCAGAAAGGCTTTGATTGCAGATGAAAAACAGAGCTCTTCTTAATTAAAATGCAGCCATCCGCCTGTGCTTTTTTCCCCATCAAGCCTGGGAGAGAGTTTGGAGCCCTGTCTGCTCCTCCCTCCTCCTGCCCAATGGAATTGATGTCTACAATGAGAGTCACAGCATCAGAGAGTCATAAGGGATCCCCAGGGGCAATCTAGTCCAGCCCATGGCAAAGTCATCAGGGATCCCCAAGGGCAATCTAGTCCAGCCCATGGCAAAGTAAATGCAGCTCATGTTCCAGCTTGTTTTCCATTACACCCCAAACTCATCCCTCTCTCCTAAATGTCTTGGAAAATAAGGGATGCCCACTGTCACAAAGAAGGGAAAATTATGGCCCATGGGCTAGGACAGGGGTAGGCAACCTGCGGCCCGGGGGCCGGATGCGGCCCAGCAAGGCCTTTGGACCGGCCCCAAACCGGTCCTGCCGCCGCCGCCCCCCCCACCGCCGCCGCCCCCCCATGATGATATTGATTATTGTTGTTATTACTTGTTCTTGGGGTTTTCTTGGCAAAATCTTCACAGGGGTTTTGCCATGGCTTTTCTGGGGCTGAGAGAGTGTGCATGCATTTTTAAAAAATTTTTAATTCTTTTTTAATTTTAATTTTTATTTATTTATTTATTTATTGTGCTTCAGCCCGTCAATTGTCTGAGGGACAGCAACCTGGCCCCCGGCTCAAAAAGGTTGCCTACCCCTGGGCTAGGAAATCCACCCATCCGCCCAGCATTTGTTGCCTACCCCCCCAAACCATCAGGGCCAAATTTTGCCCACCTGTCCATGCAATGAAAGCCAAATGGCTTGCAAGCAATTTATACAACCCAACTGTCCCAATTTGGTGGGTAGATTCCCGATTAATCCTCTGTCTTTTCACTTTTCCCACCATTTTTTAAATGTCCCAGTTTCTCTCTCCTCCTCCCGCTTTATCCTCAGCTTACATCAATTGCTGCAAATTCATTAAATCAGCAAGGAGAAGAGAGGAGAGGAGAGGAGGGGGCCAGGGTGATCAGATGTCCTAACCGCAATGGAGGACAAAGCACCGCAAAATGTAGGACATTGGAGGAAAATGGAGGATAACAGAATCATAGAATCATAGAGTTGGAAGAGACCCCAAGGGCTATCCAGTCCAACCCCCTGCCATGCAGGAACTCATGTTACCAAATAAAAGTTAAACACACTTATAGAAATATAAATGCATGCATCTTAGTCGTGCTCGAAATGGAGAACATTTTGGAATTCCTCCTGGACCAAAGGATGAAATGTGGGACACGTCCTGGAAAAGGAGGACTTTCGGCCACCCTGGGAGGGAGCAGAATGTGCCCTTCCTTCCCAGTTGGCTCAGGCAAAAGCAAACTGCAGACTTTCCCAGCTTCTTTGTTCTTCCATATTAATAACTTTTGCCACCTTGACCACTCTGGTGTTGCTTAGCCACATATTCTAACATCTGCATTTTCATCTGTGCATTGCTGGAGGGGATGACAACTAAACAGAGGATGTGGAAAGTGGAGGATTTTAAAACAGCCTTTAATTGGTCAAGGCAAGACAAATAAAGGGCAGCCGTGGCCTGTTCCACCAGGGAGATGCGTCCAGCCTCTTGCTTGGAGTCCATAAAGGCCTTTGCTTCTCTGCTCCCACGCAAAGGGTTGATGAGGCGCATGCAGCGGTGGCAATGCCTTTTGCATCAGAAATGCAAAACACAAACTAGCCCTGAAATATTGCGGTGCATTGCAAAGAGCTGCATGCATGAAGCAATCGAGCCTGATGCAGCCATGCATCCCCCCGGCACAGATTTACACACTCATGTTACACACTCGGCAATATGCATTCGCTTAGATGTTTCCTTGCAAACCTGTGCAGCCTTTTTCAAAGCAGCATCACTTGTTTTGCTCACAGATGCATCTGCAAACACTCTTCTTGGGCCTAGCCCCATTCACTTTCTGGTTTTATGGGGAACTTATGGAACTGGCCACAGTCTTGCACATGCTTGTGATATTTCCACATATATACATTCCTGATTCTTGCAGCCTTCGAAGACTCTCTTAAGGATTTCATTGCAAAATCCTTTTCCTCCTGTTCAGGCGCCTAGTGTGTTCCAATTCCCGGACGGAGCCAAAATCTGCAAGAGCAAAAGGTAGTTCTACGTGTCAAGAGAACTGGTTTACTGCAACCAGGTTTTTGGCCACAATTCACAGCGAAATGTATGCCGTATGCCCTTTGGTGTCATACAAACTCTCAAGCATGTACTTCATTTATCAGATCGATTGCAAACCGTGGAATAGAGGAAGCTGCCTATACTGACCTAGAAGCTTGGTTCCTTTTGCCCAGTGTGGCTAATTTTGTAATTTTGACTGGTCACTGCACCTCTCTAATGTTTCAGGCAAATTATATATATATATATATATATATATATATATTATACACACACACACCTACTTAATTTACATTTTCAAAAGCAAATACGGACATATTCTTCTTTATCAACCATATTAACTCTTTGTGACTTCTTGCACTTAAAGCTTTTATATACGGTAGCAATATATAAATCTATCTTGGTTCCTCTCAGAAAGCAACACAATGTTTATTTTTACACTGAAATCAAGTATCACTCATTCTCTAATATTGTAAAGCAGTATTTCAGTAATAATAATATATGATTGTAAGCAATGTAGATGTAAACATTGTTCTTTTGTGATTCTCGTTGTTATTACCGATTTTTCAATCCTGTTTCTTCTATGTTTCTATTTCCTCCCCTTATATAATTGTGTGTTAAATATTTAGGGTATAAACATTATTTAATATCTTCATTTACCACTCATATATGTTCTAGTTAAAGGCGGCGGCTGCTGCTGCTGCTGCTGCTGCTGCTGCTATTATTATTATTATTATTATTATTATTATTATTATTATTATTATACTAAAATTTGATTATTCCCCCTGATTTATTTTTCCAATATTCCAAAATCTGTTGCCA